GACGAACGGGCAGTCGGACGAACTGACGGACGGACCTGTCTGGATCGCCTCAGCTGTTGATGCTTCCTTCTGCCTCTTACCTACATTTTCACAAATATATTATTCCCTTTTAATGGATCAGGTTATAAAAAATTACCTCATTTCGAATAATTTGAAAATATGTTTTGTAATATTTAAGACTCAAACCAACCTAAAAGAAACAGCTGAACTAAAACCTGCATTGATCCATATGATTTATATTACAAAGGTTTCTTGCCAACAACTTTTGAGAGTTTCTTGACCCAGCCCAACTTAATTTAGCCCATATATTGCATATGAAAATATTTATTAATAACAATATTTTCAGTAGCACGGGCAGCTATAAATAAGAAATAACATCTTAAAAACATATGAACCAAAACGTGGATTCATATATATGGAAAGCCAGGATCACCTCAAGGCATGCAATCAACCGATAAGCTTTTGGTTGGCTTGCATACATGAAGATGTCATAATAATAAATCCCAACTAAAATAACAACTTACTGAACTGAATAAAGTTAAGCATTAAAGAAGAAGTAAATTCATATTGATGATGAGTCAGTCGATTAATCCAAAGCAGTTGAAAACTGATTTTGATTTATTATGCGTCTTTATTGTATTGCTCTAGTTATACCGCGCTTATATACATTATCAAAGTAAAAAGTTTGCAATAAATAAGCGATTGAATTACCGCAAGTCTCTTCAATTATAAGTGCCACGTTTTTATTCAAAACGAATTTCGCTTTCTGGAGCAATAATTATCAAAGTTTTCTTTAATATATGGTAGGAAATTTGAAAATGGCTTATTAAATAAATCATTGTAATCTAAAGACCAAACATGAGGTAGAGGAGTTTTCAAGAAGGTGAGAGAGTGAGAAAGAGAGAGAGAGAGAGAGTAGGAGGAAGCATGAATAACACACTTGCAAAATTAGTTTTTCTGTTATTTTATTTTATTTATGCAAAATATTTCGAAAAAGAACACAAAAATTGAAAATAAATTATATGATTATACAATGAAAATTGTTTTGTTGCCATTTAGTTTTTGTTTGTTATTTTTTCTTTGTTTTGCATTTTGTTTTTTATTTGGTTTTGTTTGCTTAAGTTTTATGTTTTGGTTTTGCATTTTTTTTTGTGAAACATTTTACAATTTGTATGCATAATTTGTCATGACTTTTGTGTATTTGTTTCTCCTCTTGCAATTTGTTAGCTGTATATTGAAGCACATTTGCTTGCCGCACTCGGTTTCTGTCTGACAAATTCAAGATTTGAAATTCCAAAATTTAAAATTGCAATTACAATTTTTCAGCTGCATGGCGCAATGTTTACACTTTTCCACATTAATAATAATATATATAGCGTACAATTATTGTTGCAATTACAATTGTCTTGAGTACATTTAATATTTAAATTTTTTTATACGTTTTCATTTCAAACCTATGCAAAAATCATAGTTGACAAAAAGAATTACACGTTTTTTTTTTTTTGTTTTTTGTTCTTGCATTTGTTTTATTTTTATGATGAGACTACGACAAAAACACATGCGACTTATTACACGTTTTCTTATATTTGTGTGTTGTTCAATTTTCATTTTTTTTCTGGATTTTTTTTGTTTTTTTTTTTTTTTTGTAATTTGTTAATGTTTGCTTTTAAATTTTGTGTAAATTTTTCATTTATGATATTTTTTTATTTTTATGTTTAATTTTATTTACGCAGGACGGGGTTTATTTCTTACACATTTGCATTTTTGCTTTCATATTTTTCTCTTCTCTTTTTCTTTTTGCTTCACTAAGTGTAAATATCAATTGTTGTTTTTTTTTTTTTTTGTTGCATTCTCGCATTCTTATATATATGTATATATTTTGTCATTTTTAAATATTAATGAATAAATTAAAAAATATTCAAGCTTTGACTAGTTAGATTTTCTTTTATATTTATTTTTTCCTGTGAGTGTGTCTTGAAATATATATTTTTCTTGTAATACTCTAATGCCATGTGTCCGTGTATGTGCGCGTATATATACGTGTTTGTTTCTGTTTGTGTGTGTGTTGTGGGTGAGTGTGAATATGTGTGGGTGTTCAAATGCAGCATTCATAATAAACGACTTCGCTTTACACTCCTGTCGATTTGCTGCTTACGTGCCGATCTTGAGACTGCATATGACATAATATATATGTATGTGTTTACGTATAGCGAAAAAAAAAAAAACAAACACACAATTGTTTAGCGTTTAGTGGTTTGCTTGGAGCGTAGAAAAGCTTTATTATATATATGACTTAAAGCATTCTGCTAGGTTTGCGCAGTTAGTTAGAGAGAGGTTATGAAATATGGGTGTCACAGCAATATCTTGTGGGGGTAGTTGCCTGAGAAATGCAATCGAGACGTGAACAAACTAATAGATATGGTAAATCAAAGAGATATAGAAATCGAATAGAAATCATATGAAACAGCTTGAATACTAACATCAAGTGCTTTTTTAAGCTATATACTCATTTATAATTGTTGCTTCTCTTTTTGGTTTTGGTATATATATACATAAATATATCTGCATATACATATATATATATATATATCAAATACAAATTAGAATATATACGTATATACATATATACATATATATTTATATATATATATATATATATATATATATATATATATATATATATACTTTATATAGGTATACAAATAAAGTTACAAACTTTGGTTTATAGCAAAAAATGTACTACAAATTACACGTATATAAATTGAATCTGCCCGTGTTTTTTTGAGTATATATAACAGTATCGGCACATATATATATATCATTGTGTATAGACACACATACATATATTTGGGTGTGTGTGGGTGTGCGTGTGTGTATGTGTATCATTCTATTAAATAACAAAGCGTCTCGAATCAAGCATTCGGCACTTGTCCAATATTTGCCAAGCAATCGAGCTGAAAAATTAAACTAGCAATTTCTGTCGGTTTATCTGTAACCCTGCCTATCTGTCCCACTGTCAATTGCTTTGATTCAGTCCGTCTGTCGAATTGTCCCGTCTGTCGCATGCAGCTTTACAATATATATATAAATATATATATAGGTATATTTGCCGTTATAATTGTTTTGCTGCCATTGTGCAATCGGCTTGAAGTATAACTGAAGAACTCGAGCGAACCCTGACTACAGCATAAGTATACTCATGAATACTCTCATGCGAGTATTCGTTTTGGCTGCATAATTTAAGTTCAATTGTCATATGTATCAAACTATTTAATGTAAACAAAAGCCAAAACATACCAAATTCAAGCTGCATGCGCCAAATCCACATGTCTGTGTGTTGGTGCGGGTGTGTGTGGAGGTGCCGTGAGTGTGTGTGTGTGTGTGTGTGCTGAAAGAAACAAAAGCCAGTTACAAAAATCTGGAGAAAATGTTCTAAAAGAGCTTTTGCAATTAGCTTTGCTTTTTGTTATGAGTTTTGCATTTTGTTGCATAATTTGTTGCTTGTTAAATTTATTTGCTTGGCTTAATAGCTGAGTTTTTTCTTCATTTAATTCTTTTATATATTTATTTATTTTCTGGGTGTTGTGTATAGATACATAAATACATTTATGGACATTTTGCGTTTGCGTTTTGCGTTTTTGTTTTTCTTTAAATATATTGTATATATATATATATATATGTATACATATATATATAGTGTATATATATACATATACATATTTATTATATATATGTATATATAATTTGCCTTTTACCATTTATATAGCTGTATATGTGAGTATATATATGCTTAAATACATATATATATGTACATACATATAAAGTAAATGTATATGTATATATATATAGATATATATTTATATATATGTTCATATAGAGATTAGTACGCGTAGGTAGCTCTTAGGTTCACATGTGTCTGTGTCGCTCTGTTTTGCAAGTGTGTATATGCTTATGTGTGTTTATGTGTGTGTTTTGTTGTTTGCTTACGTATTCGCTTTGCTTTTGCTTAATGCATTTAAATTTTTAGCAACTACTAATTTGCATGCTGCGCAGGTTTTAGCTTTTGCTATGCTCAATAATTTTGTATAGTTCGTTTTCTTTGCTGCAAAGTATGCAACACTTTGTTGCCTGTGTACTGTGTATGTGTGTGTGCTTTTGTTGGTGTGAGCGTGCGCGGTGAGGGTGTTTGACAATTTATTGACTAGGAATATATTTCATATTATTCGAAACTGCTCAAATATTTAAAACGCTGTTTTTCAAGTGTTTTACTTGGTTTTTAGATATTCATTTTTATGTTGCGCGGTGTGTGTGTGTGTCTGTGTGTGTGTTTGATTAAACTTTTACATTAAATATGCTTGAAATTTTTCGCGTTACACTTTTAAGCTTTTAATACTTTTCTAAACAAGAACAACACAGTACGAAAGGAAACAATTCTCTTGACTTTGTTGAAATGTTTTCTTTCTCCTCAAGTAATGTATGCATATGTGAGTGTGTGTGTGTGTGTTTGTATTTGTGTATCTGTGTGTCTATGTGTGTGTGTGAGTGTGTTGAAAATGAAGGGTATAACCTTTTTTACTGTGATTTGTAGGTGTTGCACGTTTTTCTTATGAAACTCTTACATTTCATTTGAAGCATTTTTCATTTTCTTACGTTCAGAATGTGAGAAAGGGAAAGAGCTAGAGAGAGATGTTTTTTTTTTGTTTTACTGCATTTTGTTAAACATTTAAATACTTAAATTTAATTGCTTGCATTATATTTCTGCCTTTCATTAATTTAATATATAGATGCATTACATTTCACGTACATTGCGGAACTGCGGTCCTTTAGACAAAAAAAAATTTTTATTTTGTTTATATTAATATCATTTAATTTTTGTTTGTTTGTTTTTTTTTTTTAGTGATGTGCCATGCTTTTTGCTGATTGTTGTTGCCTTTTTTAGGTGCATGCATTTTGTTGTTGTTGTCGCGTTATTATTGTATTCTTTTTTATTTTTATTATTATTTTTCTCTTCTTGCTCTAGGTATTTACTCTTTCACTTCGAAATATTTGTAGGTTGGATTTTCGTACCCATTGATTTGCATATTGGGTACAATCTTCTCCTCTTGTACGATGGGATTATGTGTGGTTACATTCTATAGGTGTAGAGAGAGAGAGAGAGATATTCAGTATTTGTGTGACAGAGTGAGAAGTAAGGATACTTCACACAAAAAAGAGGGAGAGAGAGAGACAGAGGTCTATTCTTAGAACGAGACTGCTTACAAAACAAACGCATAACCATTGAGTATTATAAAAAAAACTGTTCTAATGAACATTCCTATTGGGCGGGCCCATATGAAGGGCATTAACTCACTCCTGATGTTGTATATTCCGTTCTCACAAAAGGGAGATTGTTGCTTATTACGATTTCATATGTGAAATATATTAACATGGAAAACCATTTTTCATGTGTTCAAGTCATGTGTTCAAGTAGTAAACTTTGTAAAAAACGTTAGGCGAGTTTTTATTGTGTATATACGCAGTCGGATGCCAAATTAAAGCCATGAACATTGCATTAAGATCAGACTATAGGCACAGAAGTACTCCAAGAGTATGCTGGGTAAGAAGAATCACTACTGTGCGTCATATGTCTGTTCGTCTGTGTGTCATTTGACTGCCCGGATATGTGTACAGTGTATTTCCTAGTCGGACATTTACTGGTATGAAGAGGCTGTACTTCCCATAAACTTAATTTTCCATGTCAAAAGATCTGTTCTCCCTTTAACCACCCTTATCTATAATTTTTATTTCCCAAGGCTACTCCTACGAGCTCCACAATGTTATACAAAAGAGAGTGCAAAAAAGATCTCGTACAAAGCTCTCTCTTTTCTCTCTTTGTGGAGAGATGTATTAGGTATAATACCTGATCGACTTCAATGAAGCCCTGAGCATGCGGCGAGCGAGATGTTCGCCATTTGGCAACGGCCACACCTACGAAAACGGCAGCCATTAGGGCGATTCCGGCAAAGGAGAGCGTGAAGTAGACGTTGCGTCCCTCCTTGGCCGCGTGCGCGTGCGTAAACTCACGGCGCAACGAGAAGCTCTGTAATGAGAACGAGAGAGGATAGGCTTTAGGCAGATACGGCGTGAGACGGGGACGCCGCAGCTCAAATACCGATTCACGGTGGCCCAAATCGTGGGTCATGAAGTGCTGCACCTGCGGCTCAGCCTCCTGATGGGCCACTGCGGCGGCCACATCCTCCACCGCGCGCTGCACTGCATCATCATCTACTGTTGGCAGTACGGTCTGCACCTTGGTGCTGAGTGTTAACGTGAGCGGAGAAGAGAAGAGAAAATTTGTTAGATGATCTGTAAAAAGGAGAGAGGCGTGATTAGGAGTAACTAACCTGACCGTAGCCTCGGCATACTCGGCATCGACTAGGTCTTTCTCGCTCTTTGTTGTATCGATGTTTAGATTGGGCACGGTAACCAATCCGCCAGGACCCTTCAACTCCTTGCTCCTGTCCTGCAACTGTTGCTGCTGCTGCTGCTGGTATTGCTTCTGCTGCTGCTGCTGCTGCTGCTCGGCCGCCTGCGACTTAAGCATGTCATCGACCTTCTTGGCCTCCATGCGCAGCTTTTCCTCACGCAGCTTCTCGCGCTCGGCTGCACGCTGCTCCTTCCGCTGCTTTTCGGCCAGACGGAGACGCTCTTTTTCGGCAACCTTGCGCTCAATCTCAATGCGATACTTGTCCAGTATGCCAGCCTCTGCCTCCTCGCTCATGCCCAGGGATGAGCCGGGTATGTCATCCTTGCTGCGCAGTGCCAAAATGTAATCGTTCATTAGCTGGGCTATCTTGGCCGACAACTCGGGATAGCGCTTGAGCATGGTCATGGACTGGTTAACAGCACGATCAATATCAATTAGGCGCTCCAGGGTGCGTGGTCGCTCCGATGCAGCCGCCTCCAGGCCACCCGGTCCGCCCGAGTTCAACAGATGGCGATAGTGGGCCAAGGCATGAGCCCGATCCTTATGCAAAGCGCGCAACAGCTTCTGCAGACACTTCTCCACATGATGTGCCTGCATTCACAAAATCAACAACGACAACATCATAAATAATAATAATTTTCGGCTTCGATGGATGGAGATACTCACGTTCGGCGGCTGCTCGGTTAGAGCCTGGGTATAGCAGGTCATGGCCTCGCGTTTGCGCTGATTGATGTGGGCGAGGACGCGTTGCTGGTGCATGGCCGCCAGCTGGTGCTTCTCGGCGTTGCCTTCTTCCTCGAGTGCCTGAACAGAAGTCTAAAATTACATTCCAATATAAAGACGTATTGCACACCAAGAGAGAAAGATTATCAGCATGAAGTTGAATTTTTTAAAACTTTGGATTGTTTGATTTATCGATAACATTTTATCGATTTCAATTTCGAATGCAGTTATGTTTCGTTGTTCTTTTTAAGTACAGTTACGTTTGGCTAAATTGTACAGATTCTTGGCTATAGCTTGTCCATAGTTAGGCTTGTGTGTGTGTGAGTGTTGGTGTGAGTAAGTGGGTGGGGAATAATAGATCGTTCGATAAGTGCTGCGAACGTTTCACAATATTGTGCAGAGAAAAAGTAGATCGAGTCTGTGAATTGCAAATGCAATGAATGATACGAACGATCCCCAACATGTTCTATGCTCTATATAACATAATGAAAGGGCTAAAAGCAAGGCAAGTCATGTATCTGAATCAGAAACTGAACTGGTTGACAACAGTTGCAATAGTTTGGCAACCTCATCGAGTATGTTTTGACATGAGTTTGAATTGGAGTTAAGTTCTTAAGATCTACAATAATACATTTTCTATATAGGCATGAGTAAATATGCAAATTATGTACATAACTATATAGGCGATTCATTCCTTACTAATGCATTCTATGAATTGATATATTTGTACGTTTTTTTTTATGTTTATGCTAATGCAGAAAGCGCAGCATTTGAGGCATTTGATTTTTGGTTTAGCATTTAAGCGGCATTTGATTATAGCTGAGTATGCACTTATATGTATTATACATATACAGAGTTTGCGCATGTGTGTGTGTGTGTGTGTGGGTGAGAAAGCAAGGGCAAGAGTCATTGATTTGTTTCTATTGAGTTTTGTTGAGTTAGTTGGTTTGTTAGTTGGATTTGATTTTTGTTAGCGCTAATTGATAATTGGACAGAAATGAAAATGCGTCGGAAACTAAGGGTTATACGAGTACATTATACAGCCAATCAGTTCAACTACTTAAGCACTTTTTGAGTTCAATAAATAAATATTTTCTTTCTTGAATTTTTTTGATGTTCTGTAAATAGTTGTTTGCTGTACTTGTGGTGGATTTAGCTTTCGCTATAACGCGTATGATTCATAAATCATAATGCTTCTTTGTTGTTATTGTTATTATTATTGTTATTATTATCATTATTATTATGATTACAATCTGATGCCTCTTTCGCTCCCATTTGCCATACATGGATACACAGAGAGTAGGAATTACAACTACATACATACAAATACAAAGTTAAGTAAATTATAATTTCAGGCAGAAGTTGTATGTTAGGTACGGCTACAATCATTAAGTGGAAAGCGACAGGTGCATTGATAATGTGCTGTTAACTTAGGCAAATGATAAACCAACTCTAATGATAATCATAATGATAGTGTTAATGATAATGATAGTTTGGAATATAGAATATAGAAATGAAAATGATAATGATGGTGAGACTAGATAGAGAATAGCTACTTAAAGAGGGCGCATGGTTTTGCCAAGGCTTCGCGTTGGAGCCAGCCACAACTGTGCGCCCCCTCCTAAAAGACAGACGCAGACGGACACACACACATACATACATACATAAAGGTATGTACATACATATGTAAGTAGTTCGATACACATACATACATATATATATGTACATAGTTTTCATATTTTTCTTTTTATAAAGATAGTGATTTAGTGCGTGAGACAGAGATAGAGATAGCCAGAAAAAACAGACAATAAAACTTGTGACAGGTTGGTTGGATTGGATTGGGTGTTGGTTCTTAGGTTGGTTGGGGCTTTGGTGGTGGTGGCCGGATTTTAGGTGGGTTGGTGGGGGAGGGCGGGGGGGATCGGGGACAAACCTGGAAACGTGCGGTCATGCGCTGCTTAAAGCTCTGCGCTGCCTTTGGATCGGCCAGACGCATATCCTGATACTTCTCCTCTAGATCGGACCAGTCCTTCATGACACGTGTGACCTTCTCGCGATGCGATTCCTCTAGGCGCTGTTGGGCTTCCTTTGTTTAGAATACGTTTTTTTTTTGTTTGATAAATTAACCTGCGCCCTCAACGTAAACACTTACTTTCTGACTTACTTTGTAGCTCTGATGCTCGTAGTGCGGATCGAAGTGGGTGAAATATGGATCTGAAGTGGGCTGCGCCGTCGATGGTGGTGCGCCAATGGCCACACCTGCAGCGACAGCTGCAGCAGCGGCCGACAACTGCGGTGTGCCAGTGGACAGTTCCTGCTTCAGCACAGACGGCTTGTTACCCACTTGCTCGGCAACGGTCAGACTTGCGGGCGATGAGGCCAGGGTGGGTGGTTTAATGGGTGGCTTGGCACCGCTGCCATTGGAGTCCCAAGCATCGGCAATGCCGGCCACTTCGCTATCAGAACCGGCGCCATCCTCCTCGTAGTTGTCGCTGTCCTCGCCACTTTCGTACTCGGCATTTATGTCGTCCAGGGCACTGCTATTGGCATCGCTGGCAGCGCCATTGCCGCCCACCGTGGCTGCCTCGTCGGCGACCATTTCGTCCTCTTCGTCATCGCCCATCAGGTCATCCTCATCGTCGAGCTCATCGTCATTGGTATCCTTCGAGTAGTTCGAGTCGTTGCTGTCATCGTCCTCATTCACGCTCAGCTCCTCGTTGGCACTATTCAGCTGTGCTGGCGGCATAACAGGAATATCGGTCTTCTTCACACGTATCTCATCGGCTGTAAAAAGCAGAAGCAGAAAAATGACATTGAGTCAATAATATTATGCTCTTCAGTTGGAGTCAGCTACTCACTCTTGAAGTGCTTGGGGCAGCAGACGAACTCAACTCCCGAGAAGAGCGAAATACCGCAGGGCAAGAGCATGGCAAAGCTGCGCATCTGCATGCCTCGCTCCTGGCAAGCGGCGGCTCCGGTCTGATTCCATCTCACAAAGGGCCAGCAGCGTGAGGCGTTGTGTATGTGGTCAAAGAGGCAACCCTCTGGCACCAGCAGCGCGTCCGATTGGAATGGTCCTTCTGAAGCCAAACGAGTTGCCAAATTGCCAGTTAGTTCGCAGCATTTGTGGAATATAGAAAGCAGATGGTTCACATTGGTGGCGGCCGTCCAAAAACTGAAGGTTCATCCAGCTGCTACTTACCCAGGCAACGGAATGGCTTGATCCAGCGGTGGGCACCCTTGCACTTGGCCGCATTCAAAGAGCCTTGACGACACCAGCCGCCAATCTTCTGATAGTGCGATGATTCCACAATGTTCGTAATATCTCGGTTCGGATAGGCCTGTAACAAGAAAGAAGAGAGCTCAAGTTAGTATCTGTCCAACAATAAATTAAGGCATATCTATCTTCATTGCTTGCAATTTGCGAATCTGTTGAATATTGCGCAACGATTTATTAATCTCAAAAAATATCGACATCGGAAAACATAGTATTTATCTTACAATAAACAAAAATGAGTTTCATCTAGACTCGTTCAATGTTAGAAATTTAAAATGCCTTTTATTATTGAATTTGCTGATTAGCTGTTACACAACACTGATAACTGATGTCATTTTCTGGGCAAAGTGAAAAATTCATCAACTTTTAATTAACATGAAATATATAATTTTCCTGCTTCACTGCAGCTCTGAAATCAACTGATGAAATAACAGTGTTGGGTAACAATTCACATTTCTGGTACACAACATTGCGGATTGACACTTATCAAATGTTATGAAAACTAATTAAACATTTTAATTACTTTCGAAGATGACTTTATGCCACAACCAGTGCACAATATTCCCAATGTGCAATGGTGTCCCATGACTTCGAAGCACACATATCTATAGAGATTTCAGTGCTGGTAGGTGTATGCATACGACAAGGCCAACACTAGACTATATATGCATATGTAATTGCTCAGCCTGACCTGCCAGCTCGCCCGATAAGCTGTTGCCGACTTATGCAAGTGGCATTTGCCCCATTTTAACACTTTGCTGACAAGTTAATGCAAAAAAGAATTGCAAGCCGAATAAATATTTGGCAAGAGTCAATTAGATTGAAGTATGCTGTGAATGTGAAGTTAAATTAAATAGGTTTTGAATTTTGACAAATTGATTTCCGCTTCCTGCACAACCATAAATTCAAGCCTGAATGCTCTATCGCTTTAAGTCCCAGAAGTGGATTTGCTTATTGAATTCTCTTTAGCGAGGAATTCGTAAACGTTTCAAGCTTGTTGGGATGCTATTTGTGAATTGGAACAGACAGAGCCACAGTCAATTCTCATGAGTGGCTCTCAAGATTCAAGACTTTGGTTTTCCCTTTGAGTTGAGCTAAGCAAGTGGCCTTTTCATTATCTCTGGGGCGTTATTTCGTGTACCCAATAAATACGTCAACTAATCCAAATTTTTGTCCCAACATGCTTGCGTCTCTGTTTATGCATGTGCTATTTTTGGGCCCTAGCAACAACAACAAAATTATCGTCAGCATCAAGAGTGAGTTGTGCCAAGTGGCAGCAGCTTTTTGTCAAGTGCGTGTGTGTGCGTGAGCGTACTTCAGGGCACATGTAAATTGAGTGCAACGAAAAGCCTTGGCTTCGATTTTGACACCTCACTGCTGCTGCACACACACACACACACACACACACACACACGCAGACTCAAGCAAAATTGGAACACATACACATATAAACACTCAAGTGCTTATAAGTGGGCAGATGAAAGTTTTCAGTACGTTTTGCACCATTGTTGTGGCTGCCTGCAACAAAGCGAACCACTTGGCGTATACGTAATGTGCGCATTTAGCTCTCAAAGATCTATGAAGAGCAGGCTGACATTAGGCCTAGGCGATAGCTCTTAATGTTGATTAGTGCGTATATTTACAACCTTCTGCTTATCAGTATCTACACCCATATCCTCAACCGCATCCGCATCCGCGTCCGCATCCGTAAGCGTATAGTCTGCTCCAGTCTATAAATATTCATCGTGTGTCTGTGTGCGTGTGCATATCCTCCGGGGAATTTCGAAGTGGATAAGCGGTTAAGTCATTAGATTTTTATAGGTTCCAGTTTCATTGTCTGTACGAATGCTTAGCCAAGCATTTGTTGCGCTTTTGTTTGGTCAACGAGCAGTAAAACTTTAATTGGCCGCCCAGTTTGATTGACTGGCTAAATGACTGACTAACTGAATGGCCTAATAAAATATCGCACACAGCCACGTGTTACCCACATGCATATTCTTATGTGTGTATGCGGTATGAGAGTGTGTGCTTGTGTGTGTATGTGCACTACATTTGTTTCAAACAATTATGTGCCGAGTGCCGCACACGCACACACAAACACACGTAACACCAACAGCTCATGAAAATGAGGCCTTTTTAAATGTTGTTTGAGTGTTTCGCTGCAAATAGCACATACACGCAACACACACAAGCATTTATATACACATCACACTCACACTCTCACATACACGCAGAATGAGTGCAAACGGCACGTAGGCAACGAATCGCTTGGCGCTGAGCCATACGCCCAGACAGTTAGTGCCCACCGGATCCCCATAGGCTCCCCAACCGGCAGCGCCTACGTCACAGCTTTTGGCGTCCAGTGGGCCTTCTCAGTCTGGCTGTGAGCATGCGATGTATTGCCGTATAGCTGTTGGCAACCGGGCTAAATAAAACATTAAAAGCACAAAATAATGATGCTGATGCATGTCAAGTCAAACTGAAAACCGAAACCCCAAAGGCACCCAAACTCGCTGAACACTGAAAATAAAACAAGACTCGGCGAGACCTCACATTGCGTGGCCATACATTCATGCAAATACATAAACAGATATGGACGTGTATATAGTACATCTGTATATGTTTGCGTGGATATCACATAATACATAATCATATAATAGCACAGTGGCAACCTCTTGAATGGAGCATGTCCTCAGAACTGTTTCATCATATCAAAGTGTTTCATTTCAAAAAAAATATATTATATTTTGAAGTTTTCTAGAAATATATTATATTCTAACTATTTATTTTTATGCTATACTAAAGTATATTTGATTTTAAAGTGAAGTATTTATTTTAACTTGGCAGCAAATCGGATTTAAATCTAAGCGGCTCAAGTTGCGGCCTTTGATTTATTTTTGACTATGAACCTAAAGCAAATTGTGTGTCCCAAAAATATGCGAACCCAAAATGGTTTGGCTGAAAATTAAACTCTTCTGAGGGAGATTCAGCTCCAAAGCATAAATAACTTACGCCCCAAGCATGTCATTTATTTTTAGTGGATGACAATTTTGGATGGAAATCAAATTTAGCCCGCTTATTGTATATGAACGTATTTTTATGCAATATTTTCATTACAAAAGGCAATTATCAATTATAAATTGAACATGACAAATTAACGTTTGATCACGAATCGAACCTTATGGTTGGATGCTGGTTCGAACCGCATATTGAACCATCTAAAGTTTCTGATTGGATAATTGAAGACACACATTCCGCATTCTTTAGTTTGCTCGAACATAACTATTTATTTGCCTCCTGTAGCCAAAAAAATATCGCATAATTGAATATATTTACAACTTAAGTACGCAGTACTCATGCAACAGTTTATTGTAGTCATGACTTCCTCTCGAAAAGTCTTACAAGTTATAATTCTATTTTTGGTCCTCACAATACGATTGGATAGCTAAATTAGCAATTGTTATTATTATGTATTATGGCATGGAATACACGTTGTTACTGTCAAAGCAATTATTTTAATTGTACAAAGACACATTACAGCCATACGCTGGGTGGGTTTAAAAGCGGATCCTCTCTGTTCAGTTGGCCAAGTAAATGAGTCACTTCGTATTTGTCGCCCGTATTTGTGCTCAGTTAGCCGTTAATTGCTCAAGTGTTGCGTAATAGTTTAGGTTACAGTCACGAATAAGATACGACATCAACTGTCAGGTCAATCAGTGGCATCGACTATAACTGGCCAGCTGTGAAATTGATGGCCCACGGTGCACAGTGTGTTTGGCTTTCGCTGCGATAGCGTGCGTGTGACTTGATATATGAGTACTCCTTCCATGCCCCACTTAGTTGCCATTTAAAGGAAAATGTAAAAACGCACATCATCAGCAGTGGTACCAGCAGTAGCAGTAGCAGCACCAGCGATGACGACGTCGACGGCATTCACACAACAGCCTCAACCTGACCATCGGCGGTCGCTGCTGCTGTTGCTGCTGCTGCCTGTGGGTGACTGTGAGTCCGTCATTTGTTTGGTCGTTGGAGTATATAAACGTGCCAACCGAATGCGCAAACCAACACACATGTACACAAACACAAACGTACACATTTACAAAACACACACACAGACGTACACACAGCGAATCACTTTCACACGTACACGTACAAGAGAAAACACTGTGGGCACTGGCTGGGCTCTTGGGTGTCCTGGCTACCCAAGCAGCCGCAAGCCCTGCCCAACCCGACCCTTTTTACCTCGCCTTGCCTCAGCTCGTCCTGGCTTGACTGGGTTTGGCGTGGCCCGGCACGGCCTGGCCGGGCCGGGCTAAAATGTGTTCGTTCTACTTGGCTTAATCAAAACATATTCAACAGAGCGTGAGGCTGTTTAAGTGCTTCGCTCGAGAGAGCTTGCCACAAATACACACGCAGCGAAACTTATTGTAACAGAATTTGATTCTTTTGTTTCTATAAGCACACAAACACATACACACACACAGCCCACTTGCATGTGGGGTAAAATGAAAAGCAAATTTAATTGTATAAAATTAGCAAAATGCGCGGCTCCCATGTGAGTCTGTATATAATTGTGTCGGTCTGTTTGGCTGTGTGTCTGTGTGTGTATGTGTGTGTGTGCGCTAATGACAGGCAAACAATTAAACTTGACATTTTCTCTATTGTCCCTCGCTCAGAAACACGCATTTCTGCACACAGGACACGCGTGTTTTTCTATTGTTAGCCGTGCTTATCCTTGAGCAATGCAATTAGACAAGTTTACAGCAACCACAACAACAACAATAGCAATTGAAACAACAACAACAGCAGTTGTCACAAAACATTAACAACAAGATGGCGTCTCAACATATTGAACACAAATGGCGGCCATTGTTGTCAACCTCATCAGGAACAATAACAACAGCAACAGCAACAGCTTGCTCTCTGTCCTTGAAGGCAACATATTGTTCTATACATATATATATTTTTTTTATTATTCGTGGGCTCACATAGTTGGAACTAATGTGCACACTTGGCCAGCAAAGTGCAGCCAGACACAAATTGACACAATATAAAGTTAATATT